GGTCATCGGAGAGGCATCCGGGAGGCGTGCATCTTGGCAGGCTATCAATCTACATTTCCTTTTAAGGCCGTTAGGCTAACTTGAAGGACAAAAGTAATCTAGCTGGTAACCTTGTGCTCTGGGGCCCAAACAGGGATTGTCCATACCCGAAAGAATATTATTGCCAGTCTCGGAGAGGAACTCCTCCACAACACATCTCATCTGTTTAGTGATCACCCCTAGGAAACTATTTTCTCATCAGATGTGTATGTGAAAGTTCTTGGGTAGTGTCTTAGAGCAAACACCCTTCTCAGATGACTCCATGAGCGTATCTTCCCACTACCAGTAAATCTTTCAGCATGATGAGACCTACCAGATATCAACTCAGAGTTTTCAACAATTGTTATTTCAGTGTATAGTTAGAGCCCCAATTTGGGGAATGCTTAGGGACTGAAGGCAGGTATCAGTGCCCAGTTCCCTTCTCTATCTTCCCCGTTTCGACATATCTCAGTCTAATGGAGATCTACATTACCTAGGCCTCTGAGCAGTTACACTTGTTACATGACCCTGAAACTGGGTTGTTTTTTTGGTTTGATTTTGGAGAGTTTTTCGTTGGTTGGTTGGTTTTTTAATTAGCTCAAACTGTATGACTTTGGGAGGGGGAAATGGAAGCATAGTTCCTTCATACCTTTCACTTGACTAAAATACAGGTCTTTCCAAACTTGTTCAACATTTTTATGTTCTACAGCACAGTTTTTTCACCATCTCTAGTCCAATTTAAATAAAAGAAAATTAACCATTACTTACAACCTTAATACTGTATGCCCTTCTAAAACGTTGTGATCTTGTCTAAGAACTTCAGGATAAGAAATACCATCCTAGAAAATGGAAGATTCAGCAAATTCTTCAAGTTGGATTATCCTGGAAATAGGTGAAAATAGGGCATACACAAAGACTATGTAGTCCTTTGCTAAGTTATGACTCCTCTGCCAAGCTGTGTCTTGCTGGGTCGAATATGCATGAGAAGATGTCTAAAGAGAGAATAGCACAATAGTGATGTATATTCTGCCACTCTTAGTCAAGCAATGTTAAATAATGGACTACGCAAAGGATCACATATTTTTAATTACTAAAAATTCTGATAACTTCTTTAGTAAATGAAGTCCATGTTTTTCACTTCATATAAAGTTCAACAGCTGGCTGACCACTACTATATATCTTCCTCATTCTCAATACACACAGTTGGAACAGTTAAAGGGTAATCAATATGCAGGTTTTGGACTTTTTTGATATGGCATTGTTGAGAAGTTGTGCTTCTGAACAAACTCTCTTTAAACTTCTCTTTATGATGTTGTAGTGAAAATAAGCTCACAGTCTGTTTTTGTACTTTCACTGCAGATCCATTGATTTAGCTTTCTGCCTCCCTCTATAGAAGCCAGCATAGAAAAAGAAACAAATCACTGAGACATCAGAAAACAGCTGCCATTAAGAAAGCTGATTTTCATTTCATTTTGATAGGGAAGGGCAAGTCTGTGTGGGTAACCAAAACATTTTCCCACAGATAACTAGCTATTAATGGAATGTCAGTCTTTAGGTATGTTTGTGATAGACTGGGTATTAGAGGAATTATCTGACCGCAACATGTCCTCCTTTCTGTGTTAGCAGCCTTTTCATCCTGTGCTGGAGATTGATTGAACCAGAAAATAAAAGCATTGCAATGAGGCTATAAAACCTGTGGAGTTGCAGATGTGGATGCAATATAAACAAACTAAATTGTGGATCTGTTAGGCTTCTACCATGGAAATGACCTATTTCTTTAAAAATTACCTAATCTCATGTTTCACTAGTATGACTATAGTAATAATTAAAAAAAAAAATTATCAATTATCAATACTTAAATAAGTTGCCATATTTCTCTGGTTTTGAACACATTCGTAGAGTATTTCTCTTTGTATCATTTACACTATTTTTAAATCATGGTATAATTGTTACATCATAGAGCTCACAAGTGGTATCATAAAAGTAGAGCTTAGAAAATAACACGAAACTGATTTCATTAGTTTCTTATTTGCAAATTGTTTGCCAATAGAATTGAATAATCTGGTTTATTACTTTTAATTCTGTACTATTTTCTCCAGTGAATAATATCTGTACTGCAGGCTGCTCATGACCTGTGAATACTCGCAACTTGCAGTAGATGGAAATTCTCTGTAATTTGGTAGTAACATCTGTTACTGCTCACTCTTTTCCTGAATGGATCACAATGTTTTGTCAGTTTAGTCATGTAGCAAACCAACCAAATCCAACTTTCAAGAGCCCTACCAGTCTACTGAGGAAATGGAAGTGAAAAATCAACTTTAGAATTATAATCAAAAGAAAAAAAATACACAGCTAAGACTGCAGAAGGAGAATGAACAGGAAGACAAGTAACTAAATGAGGAATAAAGGAGTAGAAGCAAGTGAAGTCAATGGCTAGACAGAAGTCTGCAGTTACAGGATGTACTTGTCATTAAGAGACTTAGAAATAGCCTGACAGAAATCTCATAAAGTTCAACAAAGTTCAAGAAGTGTCAACTCCTGAATCTAGGACAGAATAACGCTATGTACCAGTATTGGCTGGGGGCTCACAAGTTGGTACAGACAGGGGTGTCTAATTGCTACCTTCAGCTACCTTCAGGATGATTGCAAAGAAAATGAAGCAAGACTCTTCTCAAAATTGTGTAGTGAAAGCCCAAGAGGCAATAAACACAAATTGCAGTAACTAAAATTCCAATAAGAAATATGGGGGAAAAAAATCATTATGCAGGTAGTCAATGCTGGCACAAGGGCCTTTCCAGAGCAGTTATGAGGTCTTCCACCTTGGAGGCATTCAGATTTTGCGTGGACATGGCCCTGAACAGCCTGATTTAGTTTCAGTTAGCCCTGGCTTGAGCAGGAAGTTGAACCAGATGACCTTCATAAGTCCCTTCCAGTGTAAACTGCTGCTATAATTCATTAATGTTAAGCTAACATTGGTACAATGTTGAAATCTACCCCCTTCATTTTGAAGATTTACAAATGAATATGTGAAATCATGGGTTCTTACATTCTTTTTTAACCAGCTCATATTAGTACAGACTATAATATGTTACAAACGAATTAATGAAAGATGTCACTCTTAATTACTATCATCTTAGCATCCAGGGCTTGCCTATTCATTATTGCTACCATGAACTTTTTGCCAGCTAGAATTGTTTAGCAAATGAGTTCATCTGTAGGAGTTGCACAACTCTAATTGGAGACTATCCTTGCTAAGCTATGTTCTCCGCCAGACTGTAATTGACGTATATAAGTGCATATACAACTTGACTATCACATGCAAGATGTTAGTAAAAGAACTGAACTGTAAATGCCCACAACTTTTATTTCTCTGGTCAATCACTTCACCATTAGGGCATAAATTCAGAATTTAAAATGCAGTGACATCTTTGGGTAGTAGTGTTTATCTTTTTTCAGTGATATACAAAGTCAATTATGTAAGTAGTTACATTATGCAAAATATGACAAAGGAGTCCAAAATCCATCTGCATAAAACTTTGTGATAGAAAATGTCTGATTATGAATAAGACAGAAATAAACTAGTGTTGTTTTATGCAGCATGGACAATTGCAGTGAGTTAACCTTGGCTACCTGCCAGATGCCCACCCAGCCACTTCCTCCCACCACCTCCTCAACAGGACAGGGGGAGAAAATAGGAAAGGAAAGCTCATGGATCAAGATCAATACAGGAATATCACTCACTGATTACCATCATAGGCAAATCAGACTCAGCTTGGGGAAAAGTAATTGAATTTATTGCTATCCTCAAGTGGCGCAGGGGGCTGGGGGCTGGGGGAGATGTGATTGATCCGCAACAGCTCTTCTTTGTCGCTCCTTCTTCCTCACATTCTTCCCCTGCTCCAGTGTGGATCCTTCTCATAGGTTGCAGCCCTTCAGGATAAACCTGCCCCAGCCTGAGCTCTCCAAATCTTCCAAAGATTGACTCAGACAAGTTTCCCTTTCCTTTTGCAAGTGGCAATATGGCTGGTATGCTCAGATTCTCCAGTTCTGTAATGACAGCTAAGGAATGTCATACCATAAATCTGGATTTAGGACCTCTGATCCAAAGTCAAAAACAGTAGCTCACAGGATATGAAACATAAAATCAGTATGACTTTACTCTTCTGGAGCTGAGTTACTCAAAAGTTTTGACAGATTAAATTTGTAACAAAAGGTTTTGGACTGGATGGTACATTGTCTGTTTCATCTACTTTTGCTTTATTAAGGATGCAGCACTGGCCATCCACAATGCTTTAACTTTACCAAGGGCTTGCATCCCACGGCACTTTTATGCCTGGCAAGAAAGTACAAAACAAGTATACTTTTCATAGTATCTTGACAGGCTAGTCCTCCAGAAACGTTGTCAAAGAACCACACCTTACATAGATTACATTTGTACTGCTGAATTAGTGTTCGGTGTCGAACACATTGCTTTACTATGGCACAGTACTAAAACACTTATTTGCCAGCATTTCCTATATCTATAAAATTATTATTAAAGAACATTTTTAAGCAGAATGATTAAAGACATGGCTTTCACTGTTATGCTTATTACTGCACTTGTGAAGAATTGCCAAAAAACCTGTATAAGCAGTAAATCTGACTGCAGTATTTTATATTAATTTTCACTTAAAAATATAAAATGAGAAGAAATAGTACAAATCCAGTGATCAACCTTACATTTCTGCGGTTTTGCTTATTCTTCAGCTGAGACATAATTTTAAGTGCTTCCTTTCTGAAGAGATTTCTCTTGTTCATATTTGCACATCTTGTACATGAATATGACTGTTCGAGAAAGTTGTAAAAACCTATGTCAATAAAGTTTTATGGCATAATTAATTTACAGGCATCTCCTATAAATATCTGTTCATGTGGATTATCATCCTGCCTTTCAGGTTGTGTCTTTTGTCAGCCCTTAATTCGTACAAGCTTTCAAGACAGAAATGAAGCTGAAAAAATCACCTGATAAGAAATACGTTCGTCTTAGTTACTATGAAATTGTGTTTGCTTCTCTGCTTGCAGTTTTTGTGTGTGTTTGTGTCGGACTGATTGTACTTTCATGGTTATCAATCCAGAAGTTAGAAAGAGGTAAGTAGCCAACCTTTAACCTTTTCAAGAGTTCTTAAGCAGACATTCAATCTTTGAAGCCAGTGGTGTTGTCATTGTAATTATATTTCATATTTCATGCTATGTTTTTACTGCTGAGGGAGAGGGGTGTTTGTTTGCTTTTTTTAATGTTTCCCTCCTCTTCTTCCCTGGAAATTGATGTGAACAAAATAGGCAAAAATAAAAACACTTGAAGCATACACTAAAGCCATAAGAAAGACTTTTCATGATTTAGACTTTGGGAGAGGTCCCTAAAATGCAATTGAAGCTATAAAGTTTTGGTTATTCAATTGTATTCATCAACTGGAGAAGGTAATAGGGCAAATTGTGAATTTTTGCTTTTTTCTCCATGTATAAGGTTTTACTCAGAAAGACATTGATAATCCACTGAAGTCTGTATGGAGCTTTAGGTGTTCTATATCTCTTGGTATCTTTTTATTTTTATTTTTAAAAAAGTTGGTTTAAAGTACTTATTGGTGTGAGAGAGAGTATCTAGTTACATATTTTTAATTCAGAATACACAAAAACCTCATAGTTCACTAACTCATTTGTCCCAAATGTCTTTGTCCTTCGCGTTGGACAGAACTGGACATATCGTTATCTCCTTTATCCACTCACAGTGCTGCTGGAAAACAGTATTTAAAACAGAATTCAAAGCAGTGAGAACCAAGGACAAATAGTATTCATAAAAATATCTTTACAGTGGTACCTATTGTAAGCATTGAAAAATGTCTATCACTTTTTAAATATCACCACTATGTAAACATCTCCGATTACAAAGCAGAACAGAAAGCTGAAAGTTATTGTATTGATGACCTATGTGGAATAAAATCTAATGTAATGCTTTTCATTTGTTTCTATACAATTCAAAACCCTGAATTTTATTTTTAATTATCTAGCTGAAGCAGATGAGAGCACTCATGGCTACACGGGAACATTTAAAATACTCTCTGGTGCATCATTCACTCCTGCTTTGCAAAATAGATCATCAGCTGAATTCAAAGTCCTTGCCTTTGATGTTGAACAGTTGGTAAGAACCCATTGGTCTCTGGTTAATCCAAGAGTATGTGGTAGGCACATTAATTCCCTAACATGACCTGTTGTTGATGGCTTTTTCCTCTCTCCAAAAGGAGATCTTTCAGATTCTAAGCCTGGTCAGAAATCTATATATTCCTTATTTGTGTAAATCAATGAAACATCAAAGAAAAAGTTTGCTTCTCTAGTCTAAATTTGGAAAGGAAAAATTATTTAGTATTAAAACTATTAATGCAGTGTGTAACTGAGTGTATTTTTAATTACTGTATTGGTTCAAGATTTCTCTTTTCCATATAGATACAAAACATCTTTCAAGCAAGTGATCTGAAAAACAAGTTTGAGAGATGCGAAATTTCCCAGTTCAAGTAGGTGCAGTTTACTTAACTGTTGCAAATAAACATCAAAAGTCCTCACTTAGCTATTTCTCTCAGGAGTGTTTACCAATACCTTGATTTTCAAGAGATCCTTGGGAATATCTGATATTATTCCTTTAATGTCTTTCATCTTCGAAGTGCTGCTGTGGGAAGTTTGACATCAATGTGTTTCCTTGGGCAAACTTCTTTCTTGGACTCCTGTGTGCCCATGCCTTGACCAAACCAGTAAGGCTAAGCCCTAAGACCAACTTACAAAACTTTTGTATTTTAAAGAACTGCTAAAATCTCCCCACACACACACCACCCTCCCCCGATGCTTATTAGCTGTGCTATGTTTGCAGGGTTGTTGGCCCTTGCCATCTAGAAGAAAGTTCAGGTTAGAGATCTATCCACACGGATCCACTTAACTCATATTCCTTAGAGTGTTACCAGGTGAGGCTGTCATTTGACACCAGGTAAAGCTGCACCCTGTGTGTCCTAAAGAGTCTGTAAAATAGGTACAGTAAGACTTCCTTAATTTATTTAAGTTCATTTAACTTCATTTTTCTATATCCCGTTATATTGGTTGTCCTACTGAAGGACAGCTGGCAAAAAAATCCAGTATATGCCATGTGATCTGTAGTGTTAATCATATCTGCACTGCTCTTAATAAGGTCTTGATTCAGTAAAACACGTGTAATACTATCTCCCATTATTAAACAGTTCCAGAACACACTTCCATCCTATACACAACATTATAAACTCAAAGGGAATCATATGCTTTTATGTTACGTTTTGGGTTATTGTTGTTTTTTTTCTACAGGGAATCTGAAGATGGCCTTGAAAGATTCCAGAAATCAGAGACTGGGTAATTGCATATGATGAAGTTTACTTAAAACATGGGCTAGAGACAATGATGCTACTCGTTTAGAAAGTTCTTCTGTGGACAGTGAACAGATAAAAAAATACATATTTAGAGATTGGATAAGGCCCTCTAAAGACTATGTGAAGCTTCAAGTCATATCTTTCCTCCAAAAACATCCTTTAGGATTAGAAGGAAAAAAAAAAAGTGATAGTCCTTGAGACTGTCCATTTAGAAAGAAAAATGGGAATGGTAAGGACAGTGAAGCAGGTAGGAAACTAGCTAGAAAGGAAAAGATACCACTTTTGCGCTGAGCTTTCTTGTGGTAAGCTGCTTAGGCTGGCTGGCAGTTCTCACATTATCATTAGTAACTCCAGTTTTAAATAAAGAAAGGTCTGATTACACACTATGATAGGCAAGAACAAAATAGGACAAAAGATTAAGACTCTAGAAGAACTGGAAGACCTTGAGAAATGAATAATATAATCAGTTGTCTTATAGGTGAGACCACAAAATTAAAGAAAAGTGCACAATATGTGACAACAGAAAATGTAATTCTGTGATTCTGTGATACTAGCTGTTCTTGTGATATGAATGTTTTCTGTAAATACCTAAAGCAGATAAATATTCATAGGATATAGTTCAGTTGAATGACTGTGCTTGCAAAAGAAAAATGGATATTAGCCAACTGTGAATACATGTATGTTGAAAAGGGAAGCAGATTTGACTTAGAGCAATCTTTTGATTGAAATAGTGAAAGCATAAACCTAATTAGCTAGAAAGATGGAGTATAATCACTTTATGAAGGATTTTATAACATCAAGAGAATAGAGTACACAGTGGTAGGAGTAGGTCACTTCTAGGTTTTTGTCTTTGTGAAGGTAGATCCAACCAGCACAGTTTGATTTCTGCACATAGAATGGGACTATTCTCATGAAAATTTGGGCATCAAAGATGGAGACATCTCTAAACTGATTGCTCAAGACTCTTTTTGCAAGTGATGGGGTTTTAGAGTTTTCTCATCTGGTCAATTTAGACGCCTTTTTTAGGAGGAGATCAATTATGCCATAGAACAGCTTATTTCTTCCCAGCAACTACAATGGTAATCCAGATATCTACACTGTAATCATCTGCATTTGGCAAAACCAATTCCACCCCTGTATCTTGACATAAACACCACAGAAATCACAGAAAATCTGCTATCATTGAATGTTGGATCTGGCTTTTAAAACATCAGTAAGGATCCATCTTTGTTTCTGCTTTGAAGCAATATTTGAAATATTACTTTGTCTCAGAAATTATTTTCTAGTTGACTCTTTTAATTTAAAAAGTGTTTACCCCTTTGGGCGATCTCCTTGTTATTTCACCCTTGAAACTCTGGTGAGTCACAAGGATAGTAATAAAAGCTTTTGTTTGCTCAGCATGGCCTAGAGGTTATCAGAAACATGTAAGAAATTAGAGGAGAGTTTGTCCATATATTGAAAACTGCAAACTATGCTCAGCAAAATGGCAAGATTAATCATTCCTTATCAAAAAACACTGCTGAATCAGTTGCAATTGGGTAATATAAATGATTAAGAGTAAAAAAGTTTGCCCCTACATTTAAGTAAATGGAGAAAAACTATCTTTAGCAAGCACCATACTTTGACACTACCTTAATCTACAAATACAAAACTTACTAATACTTTCTAGAAGGAATGGAAGAGAGCAAACAGATAACGCTTCAGATAAAATTCAGGCCCCATAGAAGTTAAATGTAGTTTAACCATTGATTTCAAAATATCTGTGCTTTCCGTTGTTATAGTTTCTTTATTAGAATGCAGGCACACAGGAGATTCTCACAGATGCAGAATCCACAGATTATGTTTGCTTTGTAGAAGTGATCACATTGTACTATATTTTTGTAACGTTATTTATGAAATATATGTATTTATAATTCTAATTATATTATTATATAGGTTTCATAACACTTCAAGGTTCGCCACCAATATTTTAGGGCTTATCTAGGAGATACTTCTCTTTTAGTTCATTCAAATTCAGCTCCATTGCAGCAATTGACACGAACATTATTTTGGGTTTTTTCCAGAGCAAAAATAAGAGTAGATAAAGAAAAAAAATTGTTTCTCCAAGGTTTAAACCTACCTGATAATTAAGAGGTGTTTCTTTATGCATCATCTTTGCCAGCCAACACTTAGGGATGACTTTGTGAATGGAACCTGTGTTGAAAAGAAATATTGTCTAGATAAGTCATATATCGGATTAACTTCATTAAGTTGCTAACTAATCACTTTCTCTGTTTTGTATTGCTAGTGTTGTTGTGATCTTCAACCTTTATTTTACCCAGATGATAACAGTTGAGAAAATAAAAAATGAGCTGGTTTTGGGTATCAACGCAAATGAAACTGATCTTACGCAGACTTTGAAAATTGATGTGGACAGCATACAAGTCACAGGTAATGCTAGTAAACATTTCTTTTCTGTATAAATCCTTGAAAACTACAGGTAACGTGAATGAATACTTAGGCTCCCAAACAGCAAATAGATTGTTACTTATGCTCATGGGTGCCCTCCTTCCCCATTACTGAACTTTCAGTAGCAGCTGAAAGAATCATTTACAACCTCAACAACTAGAAAGTATGAGTCAGCATTGTGTATGTGCACTAAAGAGGGAGTAAAGGACAAAGTAGTGATTTCCCAGCAAAAAACACTCAATATCTTTGAAGTAGCATAACATCAGTAATTTCCCTATTCCTCAAGTTGAAGCAATTAAGCCACAATTTTGTTGTTTCATAAGTAAATGCAATTATCATTTTGTTTTGCTAAAGAATAATGGAAAGGGCTCATCCTCACAATGAGTGAACTCATTTATTGCAAAGATGTCAGTAAGAAAAACAAGCTGAATACAGAGTGTGGCTTCTGGAGAGGTATGCCCAAGGAATTGGCTTCGTATTCCTCTACAGTTTAGGTAAAGCATAAATGGAAAAAAAATGAATGTGGCTTAAAAGACTAGCAAGTTTTATACTCTGCAAATATATAAATGTAGTGATTTTATGTAAGTACTAGAAAACTTATCAAAGCCTAAGTGGTAGCCAAACAAGATCAATGGGAATCCTTGTTTTTACCTCAATAAGCTTTAAAACAGACCTTCACTGAGGATGAGGATAAAAAGTAATTTGAATCCTTTGAAGTGGAAGTTGATTAGCTGACATTTGAAGACCTGCTGGAGATACTATTAAGTAGCAACTGATTGCTTTAAGAGGAGTGGGACATCTGGTTTGCAATCTCTCTTACTCTCTTCTAAAAGGTGCATTTTTTGCTAAGTATTTCAGATATTCAAAGGCTAAATTCTGACTCTTGACATCTTTATTTCTCTTTCCTACTTGCACCATATATAAAAAGTTGTTTCAGATAACTGCATATCACTATGGAAAGTGATTGCTGATTATACTTCGAAAATACCACCAAAGAATATTATGAAGAGCTTATTAAAAGGTTGTGTATCTATTGATGAACTTTGAAGTAGTCAAACTTTTCTTGCTGTGGATCATGAAAATGCCTCTTTTCACGTGAGATATCGTCTGTCCATTCCATCAGGAGTGCTTCAACAAAATAACAACTGCAACTAATTAACAATCATAACCATATATGGCACTTTTGCATCACGTTTCTCAGTACGTTCTGCAAGAGAAGTCTTACTGCTATTTCAGAGAGGGAGGGAACTACAACACAGGTGTGACTTGCTTGAAATCACAGTTTTCATGGTGATTAAAAGTAACTTTCTTTCTTGCAAATTATCCCAGATTAATTTTAACTCATTTATCTGATCTAAATACTGTTCTATAAGACACAGGTGCTCTGAAAATCTCCAGAGCATAAAAAGTGTAAAGATAGAGATTTCTTAGTTGAAGGCATTTTATATGCAAGACAATGAATAGAGATTGAGGATTGAGAGGAATTAATATAGACTTTCACTCCTTAGGAAGATCATAGCCATTGAGAAAAGGCTGGGAACAAGGTGAGATGATCAGAAGGGTAGCAGGATGCTGCTAGTGATTCAAAGAGCAACAGTCATAGCTGGTATTTTTAAACTTTTCTGAGTTGTATAAAGCTAGATACTGTGCTAGATGCTTTTATAAAAGGAGTTTATAATGATTTCTTCCAGTAGCTGCTGAAAATCTTACTACAATGAAGCCTTCAACTTCATCAGGTCAGTATATTTCATGAAACATAAACTATTTTTGTTACCAATACAACATGAACAAACATAAGACTTGCTATTCAGCTGGCATAACTTTGTAAAGTAGCCTTGTCTGTAGTTAGGGCTTGCCTGCTAGGGTCCATTCAGTGATAGTTAGCCACACTTCATCCTTTCTGACCATTTGAGTAAAGCAATGACCTGAAGCCTGTACAAAAGCTTTAAGAGCTTAATTAGTGGATCGAGGCAAAAGTTGAGTCTCCATCAACCAACTGAGTCATAAGTTGAAATTTTCACAGATTTAGGCAGGTAAATGAGGCTGAGGAGTTCTACTCTCATGCTGTGGTTACTAAGAAACTGAGCAATGTTGATTGATAGATTTTCCTTACACTATCACTGGAAGTGTTATGACAATAGGGTATGAAGCAGACACAACTCCTTGCTCACAAATTCACTGAGTACAAAGGTGCCAAAAGTCAGTCAGACAACTGAGTAATTCTGTAGATGATTTGTAGAATTAGATGCAGGTAGAGTTGTCACATACAAACTGCATAAAAATTATCACTTACAAATTATCACATTCAGATTCTCCAGGACAGGGTACCAGACCAGGAGCTTCATGCAATTTATGTGAGCTAAAGAAATGCATCTATGAATACAACAGCCAAGTATTTATTGATAGTCTAATTACAGCCATAACAATGAAAAGGCTATTATTAGTCTAGTTACAGACCTACTAATGTATATAGTCCAAAGTGTACAGTTACTACATCTTATTCTCAATGATACAGTTAAAACTGCTAACATACAAATTTTCTCCTATCTATCCTTTCCTCTAGTATGCTGTATCTATGCTGTCCTGAGTTCTAAGTGCAGTGTTACTAACCATCCTCAAGAAGAAATTGGGAGGTGAGAGGGAGGTGCCAAAGGAAGGGAAAAGAGTGTCAGGAGCTGTCAGCACACGAAGCTGGAATAGGAATAATGTTCCTCATCTGGATTTCTTCCCCCTTGGTCTTGAATCTGCTTGGGGTCATTTTTGTATGCTTGCTAACACTGTCTGCTTCCTTGCTCTTTCTCTTTGCCTTCAAATCCCTCAATAAACCCAAGTTTTACTGTTTGTTGTCTGTTTACATCTGTGGATGCTTGGATTTTGGCTCATTTGACCCTAAAATCATCCTTATTCACCTCACGTGCTACTTTAGTGAGATCACACAGTAATTGGCTATTTGTAATTTGTGCTTATACCACTGGTGCCTCTGACACTCTCCTATGCTTTTCCTTTCATGGCTTTTACTGTCAACTTGTGCATGCACCTTTGGGACAGCCTGTAACAATCTTCATTTTTTTCAACAATCTTCAAGATGTAGCTTCCTTATAATTGCTTTATTAGAACTACTTGCTCATGCATGCATCCATGTTTTAGGTCATTGAATGTTTCATTCTTTCCAAAATAGTGATCCTTTAGAACATTTATAGACATAGATACATATGTATATAACACTTTGGAAACTACTGTGAAGCTATAAAAATACTTTCCTTCTCTGAATGTATCTGTGTGAGATCAGTCAGTCCAGCTGCACCCTCCCTGAACTTTCCCCTCAGCTATCCTCTCTCTCTGCCAGAGGAAATGTGTCCTTAAATTTGCTGATACAGTACGCTCTGTAAACCATTTAATAAAAAATGGCCTAGCATAGTTTAATAGCGTGTGCCAAATGAGCAAGTTTTGATATAAAATTGTTAGGAAGCCCTCATGCAAATTTGTGCACTAGTGGAACTGGGAGAGCAGGAGCATCTCACAACGTTAAGTTTGTGATGGCCTATGATCAGCAACTTCTGCCAGCAAAATTAGTAGATGACAAACTATAGAGAAGACCTTACTGTACCTCTCATTTTATTCTTTCTAGACCTTCATCTTATAAACTAAGGGACAAGATCTATTAACTGTAGTGAAATAGGGATCTTTTTCAGCTGAGGGCATCATCATTCTACACACATACTTGAGTCTTAATGTAGAAAGTAAAAATAGTGAACAGGGATGCTAACGCAGATTCAAAGATGAATTAAAAGGCTATATGGGAGCTGGAAATGCCAGGGGCATCCTCAGTGGTTGTTAATAAAAGCACTAGTAAGTGGAAGCTGTGCTGGAACAATCACAAATAATCATTCCATTTTTCCAGAAAGTTTTGTAGTTTACTACCACTAATAAAAATCTGCTTATGTACGTAGGTATTTGTTCAACTCTAAATATGTATACACACAGGTATGTATGTATGTCTGTATACATAGGGTTGAGGCTTCTGTCCGTAGCCTTAACTGATTTGTTGAGCAATTTTATTTATAAGAAGATGTACACATACACTTTAGTACTACTAATAAAGTTCTCATAACTTACCTTGTTTCAACAGATCCCATCACTGCAATTACAAGCTCCCTGACACCAACTTCAGGTCAGAACTTTTACATATCAGAGCAAGACAAGAAAACATTGCTGCTATTTTAATGGGAAAACAACTCCAGAAGTCTTTTTAAGTTAGTGAAAAGCATGTGACTAGACCTAAAAGAATAAGATTTAAAATACACTTGGGTTCCACATGGGTTTTCTCATGTTTATTGTGACTTTGACCTTCAGGATCAAGCCATTCAAGCTGATGTTGCCATATCATTACCTAAGCTGGGGTTTGGGGATACAGCAAATAATGCAGACATAAGAGCAGACTGGCTGCCGCTTAGTTCTGCTCAAGCAACTGCAGAGGTGCTCCCAGAGAGCAAGAAGTAGAGTTCTAACTGTGGGTTGTGTTTGCCCAGGTTCAGGACAACTCACCACAGGCAAGTCCTCAACAACTGCAGGTAGGTAACTACGTATGGGGAAAAGCAGGGAGGTTACATGAAACAGTCTGAGATCTTAGAATTACATTGTTTGTGTAAAGCCTCTTCTCAAATCATTCAATTCTCGCATCCCATTCCCACAAATATATCTTTGTTTTGACTAAGGAGACCTCTTCAAAGAGAAGGGACTTCTGAGACTGTACATTCTACAAAAATTGTATATGTGTTGTGTATAATGAGATATATATTGACACTCCTACTGACTGCTCATTTTTACTTATTATTTCTTGAGGCTTTTAGGGAAAAAAAAAAAAAAGAAATATTATCAAACTCTCACACGACTTCCAATGGACAGAAAGCCAAAGCTGTCTGCATCTTTGAAATCCTTCCCTAGCCTTAACTGATTAGTTGAGCAATTTTATTTATAAGAAGATGTACACATACACTTTATTACTAATAATAAAGTTCTCTTAACTTATCTTGTTTCAACAGATCCCATCACTGCAATTACAAGCTCCCTGACACCAACTTCAGGTCAGAACTTTTACATATCAGAGCAAGACAAGAAAACATTGCTGCTATTTTAATGGGAAAACAACTCCAGAAGTCTTTTTAAGTTAGTGAAAAGCATGTGACTAGACCTAAAAGAATAAGATTTAAAATACACTTGGGTTCCACATGGGTTTTCTCATGTTTATTATGACTTTGACCTTCAGGATCAAGCCATTCAAGCTGATGTTGCCATATCATTACCTAAGCTGGGGTTTGGGGATACAGCAAATAATGCAGATATAAGAGCAGACTGGCTGCCGCTTAGTTCTGCCCAAGCAACTGCAGAGGTGCTACCAGAGAGCAAGAAGTAGAGTTCTAACTGTGGGTTGTGTTTGCCCAGGTTCAGGACAACTCACCACAGGCAAGTCCTCAACAACTGCAGGTAGGTAACTACGTATGGGGAAAAGCAGGGAGGTTACATGAAACAGTCTGAGATCTTAGAATTACATTGTTTGTGTAAAGCCTCTTCTCAAACCATTCAATTCTCACATCCCATTCCTACAAATATACCTTTGTTTTGACTAAGGAAACCTCTTCAAAGAGAAGGGACTTCTGAGACTGTACATTCTACAAATATGGTGTATGTGTTGTGTGTAATGATGTATACATTGTCACTCCTACTGACTGTTCATTTTTACTTCCTATTATTTCTTGAGGCTTTTGGAAAAAAAAAAAATGTTATCAAACTCTCACATGACTTCCAAAGGACAGAAAGCCAAAGCTGCCTGAATCTTTGAAACCTTCCCTAGCCTTAACTGACTTGTAGAGCAATTTTGTCTATAAGATGTATACATACTCTTTAGTACTAATACTAAATTTCTCGTAACTAATCTTTTTCAACAGATCCCATGACTGCAATTACAAGCTCCCTGACATCAACTACTTCAGGTCAGAATTTTACATATCAAGGGAAGACAGATGTATGACATTTATATATGAAATATACAAAATATATGTGATATTTAGAAGTATTTTCAAATGGGACTACCGTATTTACTCCTATTTTTTATCCGAGTATAGTAATCACTTTGCAATTTAGGGTAATTTGCTGTTTAAAAAACTGTCAAAGGACACTGTTATTTTCTTTTTATCCGGTAGGTGGCAATACTGTTTAGTTTTCTGAGTTGACTAAGCCTGGACTTGACCATGTTCCGTATAAATGATGTTTTCTTGCATATTGGGCTCTTGCAAAACATTTTCGTGGATTATTGGTTGAGTTTTTATTCCAGATCTAAAATGCAATTTCATCTCTGCTCATCTGTGGCAATTCATTCATTAACACTGTATCATCTCCAACATTTGGCTAAATTATGTTTGGTTTGCTTCAGTTACCAATTGGATGCGAAATGGCAGCTCTTTTGCTTTACACTGTCGGCATCGCTGACACTGAAAGTGTTTTCTAAAGCTCTATGAAATGCTACAGTACATCCAAATCAATTTTAGTCTTTGTCACTTATACTGATATCACACAATACAATATCATATAAGCATTTACTTAATCTGATAACAGAACTAACAGGTTCATGAAAAAATAGATCAAGCAATAATGGTTAGAGGTCACAAGATCAGTTTTACAAATTAATATTTGTCTTTCTTACATAAGAAATTTTAACCTTTTCCTGTAAGAATTTACTGAAGTAAAGGAACTATGTGAATAGTACTAGGTGAATAGTTTCCATAGAATTTAATGCAATTTTCAAATTTTTGAAATTAGTAGTTATCCAAAGCTCATTTTAGGTGCATGGTTTTGTTCATTTTAATAAGACCTACTTGAATTCTACAGAAGCCTAAGACCAAAACCATCTAAATAGAAAAAGAGCGTGTTTGCAGTAGATGAACATTTGTGCTCTAGGAAAATGTTATTACTATTGTAATATTGCTGAAACTTTAAAGATCTGCCCATGTATTCTTTCTGCAGAAATTTTCTATTAACTTGTAAATTTAATTTGCAAATTTGAAAAGAAGAGTGTGTCTGATATTCCTGGTATTTCAAAATTCAGTCTTAAAGGCTTTTGTTTTCCGGATATGTTGCTTAAAAGATGAGATTCTTTAGCGTGACAAAGTGCAACATTGTGATGGGTTGAAGTTGAAGAAATTAAATTAAATTGTATTCAATTAAAACCAGAGATTTTTCACTGTTATTTAAACTAAAGTACCGTTTTCTCATGCTATTCAAGGATAAGATATTGGAAAATGTCATTTACTGTATTGCATAAAGTAGTTTATTTGGGTAGAGGAAGGAAACGGAAATTCATGGATATTTTCTTCCAACTCTATTTCAAGCTTAGTTTTAAAAACTATGTCACTTCTGAGAACTTCCTCCATTCTGTGCCAAATTTATCTTTTTAGTATGTGATGCTTTATCCCAGGCTTTTAAAAATGTAGTTTTGTAAAGTGCAATAGAGTGGTTGATTTTATTTGTGCTAAAGGAACCTGAGGTAAGCCAATTTCCCTTTGTAGTGAAACTGCATTACTG